AGAATTATAAATTTGTACAAGCTCTTTCTAAATCAATGTGTTAGTACATATTAAAAGCCTTTAAAATGTTTATGCTCCACAACTCAGTAGTTACCCTTTTAGGAATTCTTCCTTAAATAAAATAAAATTGGGAGAGATTACATACAAAGATGGTCACTAAGCATTACACAGGTACCCTAAGGAACTAAGCCTGAGTGAAGAAAACACCTCATGTATGAAGATTGTCATTAAAAACTTTCTTCACGAAAAAGCAGAAATAACCTACAAAAAGTTTAGCTCTAGAAATAGCCAGCTATATCTAAGAAAACTATGAAGTAATTCATTATGACCCTTATAATAACATAACATTGTATAAAGTTTCAGAGTATTATTAGTGTGAAATAATTCTCAGAAATATCACCAAAAGAAAAAAGATACAAAAATAAGTACATTCGATCAAAATGTTGTTTTAAAATATCTTATGAGTAGAAAAAAATAAAAAATAATTTTCTCCCAACTCTTTTGTAGTATACAAATTTTTAGTAAAAATAATCATTTCAGCACAATTATGAACCATAAATACTTTGAATAATTATGCTATCAATAGTTTTTTCTAGTAAAAAAGATAAAAACTGCTTTTCAAGTGTTTTATTCTACTCACTTATAGTCTCTCTCCCAGAATTTCACAGGTCGAACGTATGAAGTGATGAATATTGCACTTCCCAGAAAAGGGTTCAGTGGAGTAGAGAAGAAGGCCGACACGACAGCCTGAATAAACAACATGGCTGAATCTACGGGGAACTGGTTAAGGAAATTAACATTCATCTGAGCACACACACCCCCAAAAAACCCAAAACAAAACAAAAAACAAAACTCATAAATACATTTAGATTACAGCAATTAGAAAAACGAGGTTCACCAGAAGAATACAGAGTGTCACTGGACAGCATACGGGGTTACCAATAAAAAGACACAACGAGGAAAGTACAGCGTGGTGTGATGCTTTGAAGGGAGCCAAATAAATATTTGCTAATATGTATTTGGTAAAAGTCCATATATCAGTCTTGGGAAGAGACAGTTGGGTTGAATTTTCCAAAAGGTTAAAATTAAAATTTTCAGATACCAAAAGTCTGCATTTCAACATCAATGTCATCACTAACCCTTACTGTTATTTAGAACATACTTTTAAGAAATGACAAGAATAGTAAACTTCAGAAAGAGTTTAACTATAATCATATTATTAAACCTTACTGTTATTTAGAACATACTTTTAAGAAATGACAAGAATAGTAAACTTCGGAAAGAGTTTAACTATAATCATATTATTAAAAAGTTTTATGTCCTTATTAAAACTATTCTAAACATATTTTGTATGCATTAGAAATTAATGAACTTTAATATTCATATATGCAGACATAAAATTTTAAATTAGCATGTTATAAAACTTTAACACTTTCCTCATATTCAGATGATCTGTGGGTCACAGATATTAATACAAGTTAAACAATCAAAATCAGTATAGGTGTGGACGCAAAAGACTGTGAATTTTTGATTATTTATTATATAGCTAACTATATTCTATGCCTGTAAAAGGCATATTGTTTTGTTCACTGATGTAGCCTACAAACCGACATTCTCATCAAGGATATGACTGTTCATTCTTATAAAACTTTTATCAGAAGGATACGGGGCACTGCAAAGGGTTGAGCAAAAGCATGGAAGGCAGAACCCCATGTAATCTGCCACGGGGCAATGTAGGTATACACGAACTGCAATTTATAAAGGAGTTCCCAAAGCTGTAGGAGAAAAAGTAAAACCATTTGCAAAAAACTTACCATCACTTATTTGAATTTGAAATGGAAAACTTGTAAAATGTATTTTCTTCCTAATAGAGAAATAACACTGAAATTATTTGCCATTTGCATAACAGGAAAAGATATGTCAACTGCCAAAACACTGCATTTATTTCTCAGTAAAGACACTATTTTTAAGTAAAGACAGCTAGCTGACTTACGGATTTGTGTTTCATCTGTTTAAAACATGCTATGCCCTCTATTGGCCATATATTACTATTATCATAAGCAAAACAAAGAAAGGCAGGAAGCAGCAAAATAACTGTCCTTGAAAAAAATCTTGATATCTATAAAGCTTAAGTAATACACATATTTATTTTATTCTAAGACACATTTTCCCCAAATTTTAGTGCTCTGGAAACTGAGTATGTTTTAAATGCAATGTCAAAAGGAATATGAAAACAGCAGTTTTAACGTAACAGTCACTGCCGGTTTGCATAAAAACGTAGTTGTGTGTTCTTGGCATGTGTTGACAACCTCAATTGTTGTCAATAAAAACACAGTACACATTTTCATCTTAAAAATTTAAGTTTGGATCTGTTATTGTTGAACATGTCTTCAACACTGAAACAGAATTGCTATGTTTGTCCAAGATTGCTTCTGCATGTTAGGCAATACAAAGTCAAACTCTCAAAACAGATCACTGAATCTTAAAAGCAAGAAGTTCTGACTAATTCGGTGCCATGATTAGACAACAAATACCTCATCTCTTAAAATACTTTAGCTGATTCACAAATGAGTTTGTTTAACTTCCAATTTAAAATAGAAATCACAACTTCATCTGATTAGAAAATGCAGATGAACCCCAGTATTCTTTGCCATGACTCAAAATCATGCTGGCAATCCTTGGTACTAAAGTGATCAAGATCACAGTAAGTAAAAGCAGCATTTGTATCACCAAAATGCCATTATAACTACTTAAAAGCAGTGACTCAGAAAACCCTTCAGATTCTAAATGTGAAATAGACTGCACTCAAATTTTGACTGTAATATTAAAGAAAAACATAATATGTAATTACATGGGTAAGTGGTTGGCAGGTAAAAACATTTTTGTATACATTTAATTTTTTCTCAAAAGGTTATTAAATCCATGGTGCACCTTACAACAATATCTTAGAATAAAAAATATATCTGAAGAGATCCCCTGAAAATTACTTATTATCACTGTTAAATTATATCTACTGATCATGTAAAATCAAATTCCTTGAGGGGAGAGCTTTCTTTGTTTTGTTCACTGATGTAGCCTACAAACCGACATTCTCATCAAGGATATGACTGTTCATTCTTATAAAACTTTTATCAGAAGGATACGGGGCACTGCAAAGGGTTGAGCAAAAGCATGGAAGGCAGAACCCCATGTAATCTGCCACGGGGCAATGTAGGTATACACGAACTGCAATTTATAAAGGAGTTCCCAAAGCTGTAGGAGAAAAAGTAAAACCATTTGCAAAAAACTTACCATCACTTATTTGAATTTGAAATGGAAAACTTGTAAAATGTATTTTCTTCCTAATAGGGAAATAACACTGAAATTATTTGCCATTTGCATAACAGGAAAAGATATGTCAACTGCCAAAACACTGCATTTATTTCTCAGTAAAGACACTATTTT